TGCAGTTTAGCTGATCACATATATTACGCCATCAGGAATAGAAAGGCGCCCGTTCTGGGGCAAAAAGCAGGCTACGTCTGGCACCCCATTACTGTCCACTACCCACCTGTAAGCGTCTTGCAGAATCAGACGAGCATAAAGCTTCACAACTACCAACAACGCTACTATTGCGTACCATGCGATAACAAACTGGTCAATTGACGTACCGGCCTCCACGGCGACACGACCACGTACGTTGGCGCGCAGCGTATATACGTGTCTCCCGCCACATGTATAAAGAGCACCTGCCCCGCGTCGGTCGACGCTACACCCCGTACTGGCTCCCGACTATCGAGCCGCACGGCCCGCCGGCCGCCACAGCCCCGATGTCGCCGGCCGCCGGCGGCAGCAGGAGACCGGCGGGAGCACGCCGGCGTACCGGGTCCACTTGCTCCAGTCATCAGGCCGCAGGCGCTCCCGCAAACACGTGGAGCGATACTTGGATGATCATAACAGCTGGCGCCATGCAGCGGCTCGCGACGCTACAACGCGTTGGGCCAGCCGCACGCGCGCGCGAGACACGAGACGGACGAGGTTAGCGCGCACGCGCCGTCGCACCGCGGTCGCAGGTGCCGCGTCGCCCCGGGCCCGGCGCCGGTCAGGGCTGGCCGGCGCCGGTCAGGGCTGGCCGGCGCCGCCGCCGCCGCCGGAGCCGAACTCTCTGCTCAGGGTGGCCAGGTCGCTGCCGGAGGATGGCGAGGGGTCAACGGTGCGGAGGGAGAGGCGCGGCTCGACGCCACACGGCCGAGCCGGCAGGTCTGCCGCCGACGGACTGGCACTGATCGGCGTCCACCGACCCCACCGCACACTGTCACCAGACGGCTCATCCATCACACATGTCGCCTGCACACTCGCCATTGTTTTGCTCTTAACCTCTTCGCACACACCACTTTGACCTGCGTACAATTTATCCTACAATGAAAATGACCAGCGCCATATCGCACGAGAAGTCCCATCCGCGTTTCGACGGGAATGTCTCCTGTCCACACTCCATCCGTCATCATTTGGGACGGCTGCGTGTGACCAGGCAAAACCAATGGGACCAACATTTCCCATATGATCCCAGGACCGCGCCCCATTCTCCCGCCTCACGCACCGTGAGTCGACGGCGGTGAACAGGTCACTGCGTCCCATGGTGGCCAGCGTCATGCGTAGCATGGACCAAATGTTGTGCGACATGGCCTGGGCCGAGCGCTGGCCGCTGGCGCCGCGGCTGCTGGCCTGGTGCTCCAGCGCCGTCATGAAGTGCTCCACGGCCTCGCTGCCGGCCGCCGGGGCACCGGTCAGGGCCCGGTCCGGGCTCAAGTGAGACGCCCACGTGCGGCCCCACGTGCGGCCCAACGTCACAGCCCAGCCATCGCCACCGCCCATCCACAGGCGTCTTCACGCCGAGTGAACACAGCCTGCCGCGATGCTGCCAATGCGCGCTTATAGTGTTTTGTGATAGCACGAGACTGCACATCAATCGAGAAGAAGAAAACAACGCTTCGGCGCTGGTTCTCTTATAACACAGCCGGCTGCGGTGAGCGGGGCGACCGCCTGCCGCCCGGGTTCGTGGCACCTACCGGTTGGCGTTGAGGCTGCGACAGCTGATGCCCAGGTTGAAGCGGGCGCGGATGAAGCCGGGTGACAGCTGCAGCGCCCGGCTGTAGGCGGCCACCGCCCGCTCCGGCTGGTCACCGTTCGCCAGCGTGGCGCCCACCTTGTTCCACAGCTGCGCGTTCTGTAGATGAGACGGTGCCTGGCTTAGTCAGGGCGCAGCCTGGGGAGCATCAGGCGCCGCACTCAACTATCCGCGCCCAGGCAACGGCAGGACACGGAAACATCGCTAGGCAACGACAGGAGAACACGGAAACATCGCTGGGCAACGGCAGGAGAACACGGAAACATCACTGGGCAGCGACAGGAGAACACGGAAACATCGCTGGGCAACGACAGGAGAACACGGAAACATCGCTGGGCAACGTCAGGAGAACCCGGCAGCCGGGTGAGGTCGGCGCTCGCGCTGTGCGCCGCGGTCCCCACACCAACACCTACGCTGAGAGCAGTCACCGCTGGATCATCGAACGTCCCCGTCCAGAGGTACAGAAATGATGACACGCGCCAGAAAACCCGACCGGCTCGAGAACCACCTACGCGCGCCACAATCTAAAAGAGTGTACCACTCGGCACGGCGTAATCGGCTTAAAGGAGGCGAGCCGGTGAGGAAAATAGCCGTCATAAGCGTCGTGACTCACGGACCACACAAACTCAAAATTGTCTGTCTTTGGCGTTCGCCACGCTACAAAAAAAAATCACTTGCTCGGGCCACCATATAAAGGACGCCAATTGAAACGCCGAGTGGATTTACCGGAGGCGAACATGCATGGAACATAATGGCCATGAACGGCGTAGCCCACGGATCTACAGACCCTAACTTTGTCCATTTTGACTGCTGACGCATTAAAAAACCTTGATTTACTTAAATCACAATAACAAGTACGCCAACCGATGTGCCGTAGTTGACTTATAGAAGGCAACTGAGTATCTGATGTGTGCAGTTTATATTCGTGACAAGGTATCAGCATGGGCGTAGTCCCGGAAGGTAAATTGGGGGGGGGGGGGGACTGAACCTTGAGAAATATTTATCCTACCCTTAAAATTCTCCAATAACCGAGTTTCTCGACGGCTTTGGATCACTTTTCTCTCAAAATTTGGGAAGGGGAGAGCAGGAGCCCAAGATGCGTGGGATGAAGCCCCAAACTGAATAGGAAACAATATCCCTGATCCAATGTTTTCATGCTTGAATGCTGACACAACGAACAGACTTCAGAAGTCCGATTGTAATAAAAGCACACCATTTGAAACGGCCTAGTCAATTCAACGGAGGTACAGAAGCACGAAACGCGTGAATCGTGAAAGCCGTCAGTCATGGGCCAACATAGTTCAAAATTGTTCATTGTTGCCTGCTGGCATGCTTAAGATATCTCTACTTGCTCGGGTGACAATACAAAGTACGCCCATCGACGTGTCGCAGTCGGTATACCGGAAGCAGAGAAGCAGCAGACATGTAGGCCGTGAAAAACGTAAGCCACCCGACGGGAAAATGAAAAAACTGCCCAATGAGCCGGAAAAGGTAAAAAATTGGAGCAGTAAACACGCACAATTTTAGACTTCGTTGATTCGTGGGTCACACCGTTTACGAATCACATAATCTACACTTGTTTGGCGGCGGTAAATCGACTACGGCACATCGATTAGTGTGCGTAAATAAATGTGATTTTAGAGAAGTTAACAGTACAACATGAACAATTATGAGCTCTGCCGGCCCAGGAGCCGGCAGTCACCGACGTTCGTGATCTACATGCACCATGCGTGTTTGCCCCGGTAACCCGACGATACCACATCGATTCGCGTATTTGTTTACTGTCATAGCAGAGCCTCGAAACATTTTCAGATTCAGATTGATGATGATGATGATTTGGGGTTTTCGGGCGCATCGACTGCTGAAGGTCATGCAGCGCCCATAACTATCAATTCATGCAGAGGCGTCAATCAGAAAAGTGCATCAACCAGGTCACCCTATAAAGCCTTGGAAATCAGCCTAGCATCATGATGAAAAGATCACTGGGAAATCTATAGCGCGCAGAAACTGGAGTACTTTACCAAACTCGACGGCGTTCGAAGAATCCCCTAAAAAGTCACATAGCGTGCAACTCTGGACGTGGTGTCCGAAAAACTGTGCTCTCGTTGCAGTAACGTGGCGGCAAGCAACCAGTGCGTGATGCACGGTCAGCGGATCAGAGCATCGACCGCGGCATGGTCTGTCGCCAGCCAATAGCATGTGACGGTGTGTAGCATATGTGTGACCTATGCGTAACCGGCAAAGGGCAACTTCTTCCACCTTACTGTCCCGAAAGCACGACTGCCATAGTCCAATACGGGGCTTCACGGACCGCAACTTGTTGGCGCTCAGCGAGTTCCAGTGGAACTGCCATCGCTTCTGCATAAACGACACTGCGGGGTACATGTCTTGAGCTGGTAGTGGTGTTACAGGAATTCTAGTCCCTGTCGTAGCGCGCCTTGCTGCCGCGTCAGCAAGATCAGTTCCGCATATCCCCACGTGACTTGGGATCCAGCATAGTACGATCGTTTTTCCTGCTGGACCCAGTGAGCTAAGACGCCACTGAATGTCCTGGACCAATGGATTAAACGAGGAAAAGCCGCCAACAGCCAGGAGACTGCTCAAGGAGTCGGAAAGAATCAAATGCAGATTGCTGTCGTCCACAATAAAACAGAGAGCTTTGCTGATGGCTATAAGCTCGGAAGTGTAGACGGACGCGTGTGAAGGCAGTGTGAATGACCGTGTGGTGGATCCGCACACAAAAGCGCACCCTACACCTGCATCCGTCTTCGAACCATCTGTATAAGTCATCTTGTACCCGACAAAGGAGGCCATATGATCTAAGGCTGCGCCTTTAAGTTCCGTCATGAGGACACGTTGCTTTTGCATATTTGATAAACATCCACTCTTGGCGATGCTAGCTCCCAAGGAGCAGTCACCATGGGTTTAGGTCTGATGACACGCCGTAGGTTCAGGCCGCTCGCGTCTAAAAGTTCTCTCATTCGTACACAGAAGGGAGAAGTTTTTGGTGACCGTTGACGTAGGAAAAGCCTTCGTAAGCTACGCGAAAACACTGCTTTGCAGGGGGGATGATCTGGGAACTGCGCCAGCTTGCACGTGTGGCGCAGTCCCAGCATCTGTCTTCGCAATGATAGTGGAGGAATGTGAGCCTCCACCAGAAGACTGTCTGGGCGATGTCCGAAAAGCCCCTGTGGCGATACGGAGTGCGGCGTGATGCATCGTGTTCAGAGTACGTTTCATCAGGTCTGATGAGCTGTCGTAGATAAAACAGCCATAGTCAAGTTTTGAGCGAATCAGGGAGCGGTATAGGAGTGTCACAGAGTGTCCTCATATCAGCACCGTATGACGTACGTCCCACGCACCTTAGGATGTTAAGAGATTTTAAACATTTGTCGCGGAGATTTCTGATGTGCTCACGGTATGTTAGGCGTCGGTCATATCGTGTACCGAGAAATTTCGCGGTATTCTCATTGGCGACCCGTTGCCCATACAGCCTGATTTCCATATCAGCACAGTGACGGCGACGACGACAGAAATGAACTGCAGTTGTCTTCGATGTAGAAAACCGGAAACCGTTGAGCACACTCCACTTCTCCAGACGTGTGACAGCCAGCTGCAGCTGTCGCTCCATCGTGCGAGTGGTCGATGAGCTACACCAAATAGCGAAGTCGTCTACACACAGAGAACGGCTGATCCCATGTGGAAGCGTGTCCCCTATGTCGTTTATCATCACTGCGAAAAGAATGACACTTAATACGCTGCCCTGAGGCACACCATTCTCCTGCGGATACCTGTCGGATTTATAAGAACTAACACGCACCTGAAAGAATCTGTCAGTCAGAAAGTTTTGTAAAAACTTTCCCATGTGACCACGGATGCCACAATCGAGTAATTTCATCATAATTCCGTCTCCATGTGGTGTCATAAGCGTTCTCTATGTCAAAAAAGATGGCGCCGGTATGACGCCTGCGACTAAATCCGGCTCGCACTGCGGAATCAAGAGTTAAGATGTGGTCAATCGTGCTCCTGTTCTTACGGAATCCGCACTGAGCATTCGTGAAAAAGTTCTGGTGTTCTAAAGTCCACGAGAGCCGCACATTCATCATTCTTTCCAAGAGCTTACACAGCGAAGATGTGAGGGCGATCGGGCGGTAGTCAAGAGCGTTCGTCCCACTTTTCCCGGCTTTTAAAATAGGCACTACTATGGCCTCTCGCCAGATTGGCGGGAAGTTACCTGACGCCCATATGCAGTTGAAAACTGCCAGCAACGCTTGTAGTACACGGGGAGGAAAATGCCGTACCCTATCATTGTGGATGAGGTCGGGCCCCTCCGCTACACTACGCAGCGAGCGAATGGCCGCTTGAAGCTCCATCATAGTGAAATGTTTGTTGTACGTCAGGACGTCATCTGTACAAAAATTAACCTGCGAAGTTTCACATCGTGCCCTGTGCCGCAAAAACCGTGGATCGCAGGTGCCATTTCGGCAACGGTCTGACAGGGCTTCCCCAATGGCTTCTGCCACATCACTTGGGTGAGTGACGTCTTGACTTCCCACACGCAGTACCGGAAGGGAAACTGGTGCATGCAGTCCAGCGATTCGTTTAATGCGGCCCCATACATGTGACGTCGGCGTGTGGTGATTCAGTGAAATGACGTAGCTGCGCCATGATGCACGTTTCGCCTCTCGTACAGTGCGGCGTGCGGCCGCGCGTGCTTGCCTGAAAGCCAAGAGGTTTAATGTGCTGCTGTGCCGGTCAAAAGCCCTAAAAGCTCTCCGACGTGCACGAATAGCGTCGCGACACTCGTCGCTCCACCAAGGTACAGGGGTGCGACGAGGGCATCCGGAGGTGCGCGGAATGCATCCTTTCGCCGCATCCAACACGAGAGACGTAGATTCCTCCGTAGTCGGAGTTGCAGAGTCGAAATCGTTGGAAAATGTTTCGTCCAAGCGAGTCTCAAATCCGCTCCAGTCCGCCTTTTTGAAATTCCAACGCTGAGGTCGAGTACCAAGAACAGTACCACCACGGTACCGAACCCAGACCAGAAAATGGTCACTTCCAAGAGCGTCCTCTAAAGCATCCCAGGTTAAGTGTGGTAC